GGTCTTGCGTAAGATCTTGGGTACAAAAATGTCCTGAGATCTTGTACCCATTTTTTCAAGATCTAGTGCCAAATCTTAACGTAAGATCTTGGGCAAGATCTTGGTTTCAAGATGTTGGACTAGGGAAGAAATAACTTTGCAACCATTAATGTCTGTTAATCCGTACGACATTCTACGATCACCGGACGAAATGGACAATATTACTAGTCCACCAACAGAGACTAGAAAAGCTCGACTTCCAAAACGAAACTTACCGCTTCATCCATCATTACGACCACAAATTAATAACTATAGTAATCGGAGAACACAATCAGCGTACAATATTGAAAAACAATCAAATGGAAATAATACTAGGCAAGTACAAAAAATTAGTTCAAACGAACGTAGTGGTGAAAGCGATATCGACGAGATAATTTCATCCTAAGATGACAACAAACGACAACAAACGTGTGATTTGAGCCGACTAGCTGAAATGGCACGTTTCGACTGTATACTAGTCTCGCACTAGTCTACTAGTCTGATTTATTCTACTAGCCGAATGAGAAATTCACTGGTCAGATTCTTTAATTTTTTATGAGCTTTAGACATACACAGAAAACTTGAATCTTCAAATGAATAGGATAATGATATATCGGATTTCCCATCGAATACTTATTGTATACCATTCCGAATGGTATACAATAAGTATTCGATGGAATCTCTTTCATAATGCTGAGCATTATGAAAGAGATTGAAAAATCGACGTTTTTACGCCAGACGAATCGAACTGAAATTTTGGGAAATGAATTATGATTTAGAATCGTAGATTAATACAGCAGCTACTTCAAACCGCATTTTATTACAAGTGTAATAAAATGCGGTTTAAAGCAGCTGCTGTGTTAATTTCTACAATTCTAAATTTATGGTCCTTAAATTGAAAAATGAATTATGATTATTAGTCACACATTTTGTGAAAGTTCTATCTTTACACATATCATGGTTCGAGAGATATTCATTTTTATAGCTGGCGCTAAGTGAGTAGCAGTTATTCTCATTGTACGTAGCGCTGTTGAACTGCAGGAATTTTTTCTAAGAAAAGACAGTGTCTAGCATGATTCTTGATGATTGAAAGCTTTTTTACAGCATATAAGTAGGCTTCGCTTGGTTTTTTGAGTGAACTTTGACTAAGTACAATCCTCTTTCGTTGCTCAGTTGCACAAGAGGAACCACCCTAAATGGCAATTCTACACCGTATAAACAAGAAACAAGAAAATATAGTTCAATCATAGGATCAAAGGTACCGCATCCAGTTTCTTGCTTTTCAACTTAGCATTTTTCCTTTTCCTTTTATGCGCATGTCAATAAATAGACTATAACAAAAAGTAAGAAAAGACAAACTTTTAGCTTACTATGAAAATATTCATTGGCCTTTTGGCCCAAAAGGTAGTACCCAATATGACGTTAGCCCATACTCTGTCAGTTTCACGAAGTAAAATAAACTTAATTATCTAATATTCATTTATAGTATTTATCTCAATTGAAACAATATATACTGAAGATACAGGTTATCTGGCCCAGATAACCTACATCATCAGTATATATCAAAAGCAATAATGGAACTAACACTCTTCCTTAGCGCACTCCACAATTTATTTGTATTGCTAAAATTTCATGAAAATATACGTTATCTTCGTAATATTTTATTTATTTATTTACAATCAAGGCGTTTCGATCGCCATGTGCAATCTTCTTCAGTAAAACATAAAATTAATAAAATAAAAATATAAAATGTATATATACAACAACTTGAGTGTGCACAGTTGATGTTAAAACTCTAATGTGACAAATTCTTTTTCTTTTCATATATTTATACTTATACTTTAACTTTATCTTTTTCTTTTCGGTGGACTAAACTGAGACAACGAAAGGGTAAAAGAAATTTGGCTGTTTTATTTTATTTTAGTGACTCAGATTAAAATATCCGACGTAAATGTATAACGTCGAAGAAGACATTATATTAAATGAAATAAAATAAAAGTACACCTTAAGTAAAATGATTGATGAAGAATGTATTAATAGACTAAACTTATATACGGAGAATCTCTCAGGTTCAACAAAATTCCTCCTTATAGTTATGCCTATTCTATTTCCTAAATCCATATCTCGCATCCAGGTCCTGAGAGCT